CGCTTAATAAGGAAAAAAATCTTTTTTACAATTTTGGAATCGCTGATTACGAATTTGGAGTCAGAATTACAAAATTCGACGTAGGATTTAATATAGCCATTTCAGAAGTAGAAATATTTTGTAAATAGGGATTTTCCGGGTAGGTTAAGAATTAAAAGATTATGAAATACAAAATGTCACATTTATCAAGCATGAAGAAGATGTAAAAATTAAATGACATATTAGATTATTCATATATACCGTTAAATAAGTATCGGGTGTAATTTATTTGAATCCCGTGCCAAAGTTGTAATATAAAATTGCAGTGTTTTCATAAAAGAAAAGAATCATCATCAGATGAAAAATCTTCATTTGTAGCATCCTTCGAATCTTCTAAAGTTGAGAGAATTTTGTCTTTATCTGCAATCTTCCCATGTCTTACATCGTCCAGAGAAGGCGAAATTCATTTTACTCTACATTTTACAAAAACCTATACAAAAAGTTGTTAGGCACTTCCCAGCCAGCACATTGCCGTTAATTTGACGTCACCAGACGACAGTTTAGCGTCATTATTGGTCTACGACGTCAGTAGCCATATAAAGGACGTCAAAATTACGTCATATTTGTGACGCCATAGAGACGTCTTAGTTTGTACGTTATTATGACATAATTTTTAAGTCATATATCAATGAAATCTAAGGACAAAGTCAAAAAAACGTCTTATTTTATGACGTAGAAAGTACGTCATATATTGTTCGTTATTATGACATCATTTTTAAGTCATATATTAATTAAATCTAGACATTAAAAAAAAAACGATATTTTATGACATATGGAAATCCGTCATTTATGATGACGTTGTTTAGACGTCAACTTTAAGTTATATATTTCTATAGGTATATATTAATGGATGTTAAAATTATGTTTTAGGTCCCAAATAATGAAATTGGAAAGGATCCGCAACGACCGCAACCCTAATTGATATGAAAATAAGTCAAAATAATTTTTAGACAACCAGCGGTACTGTAATATTTACCTCCTCTAAACACATTGAAATACATAAATGAAAATAAATAGTAGTAATAAACTCTTAAATTGTACGTTATTATGACGTCCATTTTTATGTCAATGACGTACTTAAATAAAATCTAGAAAAGGGAGAATTTTTATTTCATAGAAAGTAATTTATAAAGGTGTTACTTAGACGTCATTTTTAACTTATATATTACAAATGTTTTATTTCTTCTATAATTCGGTAGATGTCATTTATATGTGTATTGTCTCCTAAAAATCATAATTCTTTGATTACATCGATGAGATGATACAATTTTTATAATTGATTATATGGCTTTACTAAATATACAACAATTTCACCTAATACCTATCCACTATTTTAAGTATTTTGTATATAGGTGTTTATTTTGTTTAATCGTGATAAAATTCTAAAAATCTCAGATTATATTTGCGTTTATTGCGAAACAATATCAATACCATTTAATTTGTAATTCCCTCCTTTCCCAGTCAGCAGAAATAAAATCTTATTGGTTGTTTTACGATCATGCCACTAGATTCAGCGAATCGTTATGTCTGCTGTATACATCATCCAATGCCGTCCCGAGACGGTGACGTCGTCATCACATCATTCCCGTTTTCGTTATTTACTAGGCACTACGTACATTGCCATGTTGATTTGTTGCATTGTTGCACACAGATTATAGACATTTTGTTGATTGTTGATGCCTATATTTGCAACTTGTTCGTGATTTATGACGTTTGTGCTTATAGAATTTTCAGACTGTGATGGTGGTGAGGTATCTATCGTCCACAAAGACTGGATCACTCCTAGAAAAACGGAGGTATATTAGCCACCATATAAGCAGCAAACCCATTAAAAAGGGGGAAAAAGTTGATCCTGAAATGTGGAAATTGTATAATGTGGCACGGTGTTTTTATTCCAGCGGTAAGTATGAAGATTATTATTATTATTATTATTATTATTATTATTATTATTAGTACTATTAAAAATAGAAAACATGCATTAATAATCTAGGAAAGTAGATAATAAAAATGACTCATGGTTTACCATACAACTACCTAAGTATTTGCAATTGCTTTCAAGATTACCTATCTAAAGTTTTAAAACTATTTGCTATAAAATCTATCAATACTGTCGACATTCAAAGATTTTGTTGACAGTTGTTACATACATAAAATAGTTTTTCGCTGTTAACATACAATTTTTAATTCTGGGCAAGGGTAGCATAGTATTAAAAATTATATCTATTTATAGTTATTAAATATTTGTGTACTGTAGTGCCTATTTTTAATGTTGCAAATATTATAACGGAAATATATTTTATCAGGCACATCTAGGCTTTCATCTTCTATTTTGACGTCCCAAACAATTAAGGAAAATTTATGTTTGGGTAACAAAAATATATTATTTCATAGAACAGGAGATATTATTTTATCAACCGATAAGGAAAATAATGAAAATATAGAAAAATTGAGTAAGTAATTTCTTAGGTCGTTTTTTTTTTTTCACATAATAAATTTATTTATAGTCAGTGTTAATAAAAAAATATTTTCAGTTCAGTTGCAAGAAAGATATATTGAGTTACATATTGAAGAACAAAATAAACAGATATTAGTAACAATTTCAAAGCAGGAAAAGACAAGGGAAAAGTCAAGTTTTCCGGATCTACCAGTTAAATTTCCTGTAGATACAGATAATAATTTGAAAATTTTGGATGAGATACTTAGAGAAAATACTGAAATTGCTGATTGCTTGGTAATAAGTGATACATTTTTGAACGATGTACACTTTCTAAACTGTTTTGCTGGATCGATGCTTAACTACAAATGTTTCTCCATATTTAACAGATGGCATCTTCAGTGCTTCTCGTATCTCGAGTGGCAGCTCAAGATACAAGAAGCACTAAAAATACCATCTGTTAAGTATGGCAAAATGTCAACCAAAACAGCCCGGAAAGTGTACATTATTCAATTGTATGAACTACTGATACACTTTTATTTATTAATGTAACATTCAAATTATTCTTTTTTTCAGTGCTCCTATTTATCAAGTCTTGGAGGAAAAGATGCTACTAATAGAACAAACAGAATCTTCAAGTACATTCTAAGTGACGAAGCTGCAAAAAATTACAATTTTTATGGGAAAAGGACAGAGAAGGAAGCTTTTTGTCACTTTACTTTATGCAGCATTATTGTTCGTAAGTACATACTTAATAATAGATATTAAACTACGTAAATTTTATATAGTGTGTGATAATTGTTTTACTTTTTCCTAAAGAAAGCCATTAAGTTAATTCAAATTCATACTGGTGAATATGTTTTAATTCTCTGGTAATAATTACTGCAACCGTTAAAGTTTGTCTTTGAAGTTGCTTTTTAACTTACCTAGATATAGGTGTCAAAGATGTATGACTTCATTTGGTGAAAATGTATTAGGAAACATGTTTAGACTTAATTTGAATTGGCTTAATAAATTTTAAACTAAAGTAAAAAACACAAAAGCTAATATCAAAAAAATATATAATTAAAAGAAATGTGTGATAAATATTTGAATTTTTAGAAGCTGTTAAAATATCGCATTCAGGGACTTCAGATAAAGATGTCGAAGACATAATAAAAGTTTGGTTGAAACATGCTCCAGAACGAATCAGTATTTCTGAATAGGTTATTGTGCATTATTTTATAATTATGGTCATTGACATGCAAGTCATAATTAATTTCATTTAAATTGAAGATTGCATTTTCAACAGATGGGTTAACACAACTGGAACCATTACTTTCACTTGAAGTATTATTAAAAATAATTGTAGAGGACCTACCAAGAACATTGTTATTAAATCCGATGAATTTTTTTTTTTTTGAGTAGTATTCTGTAATGCATTATGAACACTAGCAGAAACTCTTCTATAAAACTGTCGTTTTCCGACAATTTCTTTAGGTTTGCAATGCATGTTTATTTAGCCGTCTTTCACAATTTCTGATAATCTTAACGATAATCTCATATGTTTTCCAATAATCCATACTTTACATGAAAATATGTAGGTAACCTGAAAAGGATTAATCAATACATGTTTATATGTAGATAGATTTATTTCTATAGTACATATACTTTGTTTTAATGTAGTTTAGTTTTAAATTCAGCATTATTGTCAATATTTTTTTAAAATTTACATTCACCAATATTCATAATATTTATTTGCTATATTCACGGTTAACATTAATGTTAAGTTGAAATTAAAAGTTAAGTTGTATACGTATAGGGTGTCTCAGGTTTTAATGGGGATTTAATAGGTGATAAAACTCATAAAGTTCATATAAATTATTTGTTTTTAAAGCTGTGTTTTTGAGGTATAGGGTGTTACAGTTAATAAAAAAAAAACATATTCAAATATCTGAAAAACTACTAGACATAAAATTTTGCACGTTTTTAGTAATAAGTAAGTAATTCGATGCAATTAGATTTAATTTAATTTTCCCAGTGGGGCAGTGTTAGAGCATCCTAACTAGATATTTTAAACACAAATTTGGGCACGCCACTGCTTTTTGTGTATGATTAAATTATATTTAGATGGAGTAATTAAAAACATTTTTTTTGTCTTGCATGTTTTGTTTATTTTGCTTACATTTCGAGAAAAATTAATAAATGTGTTTATTATATTAATGAAATTAAATTCATTTTTCTAGGAGCTGACTGATAAACGAATCTTACTTTTTTTTTCAAAACATAAGCAAAATAGACGAATGAATTGTATATTTAATTATTCGATCCTAGAAATAATACCAAACTTATAATAAAATAGTGGAGTGCTCAAATTTTTATTAATTGTAATATAATAGTTAAGATGCCCCAGCGCCGCCCCTAGAATAATTAAATTAAATCTTAGTACATCAAATTAAGTCCCTATTACTATTAACACGTGCCCAAGTTTTATCAAGGTAATCGGCCAAGTAGTTTTTGACATATTTGAAAGAAATATATTTTTTTATTAACTATAACAACCTGTATCTCCAAAATAAAGTTTTAAAAACAAAACATGTATTTAATACATGTTCTCCTTTTTTTCTATTATATTTTTGCATCATCTATTAAATTGTCCCGATTAAAAGTGGAGACCCTGTCTAGTTAGAATGTTAGTTTTATGTGCACAAGTTAAAAAAAAAATAAAGTTTTTTTTCAAGAAGTGAGTTTTTTTGTTGCCTATGTTAACATATTTTATCTCTGCGACTTAAGTACCTACTTTAAAAAAAAATTGTAAAAATTATATTGGTTAAACCACACTTCTATGTGGGTTAAACCAAGTATCAAAATATTATGTATATTCACATAATGATAGACAATAAATGAAATTAAAACTTACTAAACATAAGCCTGCCTTGATTATTACATAAGAAACAAAATTAAAATATTCGATTGCTAGTTTCTCATACCACATAGGATATTTGTTGGCATGGCCAAAAAGTAATCTAGATAAAGATATGTAAAAGCTACAAAAATGAATTATTTATTTTGATTACTTGATGGTATATAATTTTCAATATATTTTTCAATTCTTTCTGTAGTAATAATTTTCAGAAATTATATTAGCGATTTTTTCAATACATTAAAGACACTTGGCAATAGGTACATATTTTTAAGGTAAGTATTAATTTAACTGTTTTTCTAATACAAAAATAAAATATTTTGAAATTTGGGTTAGTCTGGTATGATACCACAACTGCATTTTTACATATGTACCTACTTCTCCAGAAAAACTTTTCTTCAACAATAAGATAATAATAATCATTATTCATTCCATTACAAAATTGATAACAAACATACAGAAATAAAACAAGTGAAATGACAGGTGAAGTTCAGCTACAGCTGCTTTTCAACTTAATCTTATGTATATTACATAACAATAAATGTATTTGCCTCTAAGTTCTCTGCTTCTGGTACACAAATTATATATTTGCCCATCTCAAATTAGCCAAATAAATCATTGATGTCCAAATTTCAGTGATAAAATACAAAATTAAATATGTATGTTAAATGTAATTAGTGTAATTAAAGATGTAAGTCTTAAACAAGTGATTTTAATCTTTTTTTGAAATAAAAATGATATTTTTAATCTCATTTGGTAACTGATTATACAGTTTTGGGGCTAAATATGAAAAACTACGAGTAAAGGTGGGCGTTTTATGTTTGGGGGTTAACACAGTATTTCTATTACGTGAATATCTCTTATTCTTTACATTACCAAATTTAATTTATTTATTATATGTATAAGTAAGTAGGTATACTAGTGGTGAGTATTTTATGTGTAAACCATATAAAATGATATTTGAACATATCAACAATTTTTAACCAGTCAGCATCTGATATCCTTAGATTAATGGTAATTTTTACATCGAAATAATTATTTGCGTAGGTAAAAAACTACTAATTTCATTAATTAAAAAAATTCTTATTGCAGTCTATTTTTTGTCCTATTAAAGTCATATTTGGAATTATTATGACGTATGTGGGATAAAAAAAGAACGTATTCGTACGTCAAAATAACGTACCATAAGGTTTTTATTTGGGCCTACATTGGTCAAATTAAAGTCATATTTGAAATTATTATGACGTATGTGGGACAAAAAAAGGATCTATTTGTACGTCAAAATAACGTACCATAAGGTTTTTATTTGGGTCTACATTGGTCCAATATTAGTCATATTTCACGTCACCATTACGTTTACATATGACGTCTGTAGGATGTGACATTAGACCGTCATTTTAACAGATATTTGACGTCACTTTATTGGGCCTTATGACGTAAATTGGGACATATAAATGACGTCAAACAGACGACAGTGTGCTGGCTGGGTAGTTTAATGTCAAATACACAGTATTCGCACAGTCAATTAATTTTTATTAAAGATCGTGGTTGTTTGAGGTATCCATCTCGAGATGTCGTAGTAATATGCCAAGAAACAGAAAAATTAATAAAATTTTTTAATAACGAAAGCAGAACACCTAGGCTACAGAAAAATAAAATTGTTTATCATGTATTAAAAAACTTTCTGAATGCGAACATATTTGAAAATTTGCATTAACATCAATTTGATAATTTGCCTAACAATTGTAATCATTTAATAGAACTTGTAAAGCCTGAATGTGAAAAGTATATCGATGTACGAATAAATCGTCAGTCAAATTATTTAATTATTTAATTTGGTAAAATCTACGAAAAGGCAAATATTAAATAAATTAATATGTAATGTAGTAAAAATATTACTTAATCCGGATCTGCTTAAAGATGCGCACGATCAGATTGCCTTCCACATTCCACTGCCCCGGATTTTGCATTCACTGGTACCCGTGCATTGGAATTATATACGGCCAGTCTAGGTGGTCTGTGATGCCAACACTGCCAACTGCCAATGCTGTCATATAATAAGAAGCAAGAAGGTTAGAAGTGACTGACGAGTGGCTTTGTGCTTTGTATTTTTGTATCTGCGTTCTATTTTCTGTTTATATTTAAAACAATGACTGATGTTAAGGAAACGTCGTGTAGGCTTTGCCTTAAAAATATAACCGATGAAAGTTTTGAAGTGATAAACAACATTATCAGAGATATTCTAGATGTTCTTTTGCTCAAATTGGTAAGTCGGTGAAATATAATTAGATTGCTGTCTGAAGTTGCATATTTTTCAGAAATTTGATGATGAGAGCAAAGAGGTTTTATGTACCGTTTGCAGAAGAAAGTTAAATACAGCGTTAGAATTTAAGTCGACGTGTTTGAATACCGATAACACAATTATTCCTTATGTGGATAGCGAAAAAATGTTACAGCTCGACTTAGGAGAAGTGTACAGGCAGGAAAAGAAGAGTGAGTTAGTTTGCAGTCAGAAAATATGTCGATTGTGTATGCACCCAGTAGAGAGTGAGTTTAGGTGCATACGTGAAGAGGAACTCGAAGCTATTCAGAAATNTTCAACAATAAGATAATAATAATCATTATTCATTCCATTACAAAATTGATAACAAACATACAGAAATAAAACAAGTGAAATGACAGGTGAAGTTCAGCTACAGCTGCTTTTCAACTTAATCTTATGTATATTACATAACAATAAATGTATTTGCCTCTAAGTTCTCTGCTTCTGGTACACAAATTATATATTTGCCCATCTCAAATTAGCCAAATAAATCATTGATGTCCAAATTTCAGTGATAAAATACAAAATTAAATATGTATGTTAAATGTAATTAGTGTAATTAAAGATGTAAGTCTTAAACAAGTGATTTTAATCTTTTTTTGAAATAAAAATGATATTTTTAATCTCATTTGGTAACTGATTATACAGTTTTGGGGCTAAATATGAAAAACTACGAGTAAAGGTGGGCGTTTTATGTTTGGGGGTTAACACAGTATTTCTATTACGTGAATATCTCTTATTCTTTACATTACCAAATTTAATTTATTTATTATATGTATAAGTAAGTAGGTATACTAGTGGTGAGTATTTTATGTGTAAACCATATAAAATGATATTTGAACATATCAACAATTTTTAACCAGTCAGCATCTGATATCCTTAGATTAATGGTAATTTTTACATCGAAATAATTATTTGCGTAGGTAAAAAACTACTAATTTCATTAATTAAAAAAATTCTTATTGCAGTCTATTTTTTGTCCTATTAAAGTCATATTTGGAATTATTATGACGTATGTGGGATAAAAAAAGAACGTATTCGTACGTCAAAATAACGTACCATAAGGTTTTTATTTGGGCCTACATTGGTCAAATTAAAGTCATATTTGAAATTATTATGACGTATGTGGGACAAAAAAAGGATCTATTTGTACGTCAAAATAACGTACCATAAGGTTTTTATTTGGGTCTACATTGGTCCAATATTAGTCATATTTCACGTCACCATTACGTTTACGTATGACGTCTGTAGGATGTGACATTAGACCGTCATTTTAACAGATATTTGACGTCACTTTATTGGGCCTGTCACCATTACGTTTACATATGACGTCTGTAGGATGTGACATTAGACCGTCATTTTAACAGATATTTGACGTCACTTTATTGGGCCTGATGACGTAAATTGGGACATATAAATGACGTCAAACAGACGACAGTGTGCTGGCTGGGATTCTTCCCTAGCTTGGCGCTGCATCTCCTTCCCTAACCATCAAATCTGGTAATGATTCCGGCTGACTGAGGTATCCTTATCACTAGTGTCAATAACAGACCGATACAAGAGATACAAGAGATAGAAAGAATATGCCACAATTCTCTATTTATTGCACAAACACTCTTTACCCATGAGGATAACATACCTACAAGGTGATTCACAAATGGTGAACAAAAATTAAACCTCATATTCTTTGGTGAATTTTAAGGGGAGTCTTTCCTATAAAGTTTTTATAGGAAAGGGGAGTCTTTCCTATAAAGATTTTTTTGCATTTCCTGGGAAAACTTGCCATAGTAATGTATATATTTTTTGCACCATCAGAAAGTAGAGATTTCAACGAAGAAAAAGCCCACCGACGTTTTTAAAAAAGCAGATATTTTGACGTGAGAATTTTCGATTGAAAATTAGGGTGCTTTTTTGATATTAAGTAAAAATAAGGTGAAAAAATAAATATTTCAAAACAAAAAAATTACAGCGTGTTTGGGACATAAATAGGCAAGTTTTCACCAAATTTCGTGAAAAAAAAAATATTGTTTGTAAAAGATAAAAATAAAAAACCAAAAACTTGGTTATTT